CTGAATGCAGCTTCTCCGTGTCTGGTTCTGACTCTGGGAACTGATAAAAGACCGGATCCAGATGACCTGAGGGATCTGGAAGGTTCATACTGGGTCAGGAGGTCACTGATGTATTTTGGTCCTAAACCATTCAGAGCTTTATAGACCAGCATCAGGACTTTAAAGTCTATCCTCTGACGGACTGGCAGCCAGTGTAAAGACCTCAGAGCTGATGTGGTCCACTTTTTTGGTCTTAGTGAGGACTCGAGCAGCAGAGTTCTGAATGAGCTGTAGTTGTCTGACTGATTTTTTAGGTAGACCTGTAAAGATGCTGTTACAGTAATCAAGCCTACTAAAGATGAATGCATGGACTAGTTTTTCCAGGTCCTGTTGAGACATCAGATCTTTTATCCTTGAAATATTCTTGAGGTGATAGTAAGCTGACTTTGTTATTGTCTTAATGTGTTTTTCTAAGTTTAGGTCTGCATCCATCACTACACCCAAATTTCTTGCCTGGTTTGTGGTTTTTAGGTGTATAGATTGAAGTTCTCTGGTGACCTGTAATCGTTTTTCTTTGGCGCCAAAGACTATTACCTCAGTTTTGTTTTTGTTTAGCTGGAGAAAATTGTGGCACAACCAGTCATTGATTTCCTCAATGCATTTACCAAGAGCCTGTACAGGGCCTCGGTCTCCTGGTGACATTGTGATATATATTTGTGTGTCATCTACATAGCTGTGGTAGTTTATTTTGTTGTTCTTTATAATCTGTGCCAGTGGGAGCATGTAAATGTTAAACTGAAGGGGTCCCAAGATGGAACCTTGGGGAACTCCACATGTGATACTTGTCTGCTCAGATGTGTAGTTACCTATTGATACAAAGTATTTCCTGTTTTCTAAGTATGTTTTGAACCAGTTTAGTACAGTTCCTGGAAGACCTGCCCAGTTCTCCAGTCGTTTGAGTAATATGTTGTGGTCGACTGTATCAAATGCTGCACTGAGATCCAGTAAAACTAAGACTGACATTTTTTCACTGTCTGTATTCAGACATATGTCATTGAACACTTTGGTCAGAGCAGTTTCAGTGCTGTGATTCTGTCTAAAACCTGACTGGAAGGCATCATAGCAGTTATTCTGTTTTAAGAAGTAATTGAGCTGTTGAGAAACTGCTTTTTCAATGATCTTACTTAAAAATGGGAGATTTGAGATCGGCCTGTAGTTGTTCATTTGTGTCTTGTCAAGATTGTCCTTTTTCAGTATAGGTTTTATTACAGCAGTTTTTAGTGGTTCTGGAAACACGCCTGATATTAAAGAAAAGTTGGCGATCTGTAACAGGTCTGACTCTAAAGTCTTTGAGACCTTTTTGAAAAAACTTGTTGGCAGGACATCTAAACAGCAAGAGGAGGAGTTCAGTTGACCTAAGATGTCCTCCAGGTCTTTGCTGTTAATAGGGTGAAACTGTTTCATGGTGTTTAAACAGTTTTTCGGTGGACACAGTACATATTCTGGATCTGCTGTTGATGTACCAATTGCTTGTCTAATTTTTTGGATTTTTTCTGTGAAGAATTTGGCAAAGTCATTGCAGGCCATGGTTGAATGAAGTTCAGCTGCCACTGACACAGGAGGGTTTGTTAGCCTGTCTACTGTAGAAAATAAGACCCGAGCATTATGGCTGTTTTTAGTGATGATGTCAGAGAAGTAGGACCTCCTTGCACTCCTCAGTTGTAAATTATAATTGTGAAGTTTCTCTTTATAGATGTCATAATGAACCTGGAGGTTTGTTTTTCTCCATCTGCGCTCAGCTTTCCTACACTCTCTTTTTTCTTTTTTCACCAGTGTGGAGTTTCTCCATGGAGACTTTTTCCTTCCAGAGATAACCTTCACCTTAATGGGAGCAATAGTGTCCATTACATTTAACATTTTTGTCATGGTCCTGGGTCGGTGACCCAGCGCTTTTAGTTTATCATTTTCTAGATGATTGTTTAAGTTCTGTGTTATTTTCGATCTGCCTCTGAGTCTGCGTCTGTACCTGTCTGTCTATGGTGTCTCCCCATCTGTTTGTGAATCTGTCTGTTTAGTTCAATGTCTTGTCTGGTTCCATGTATCTGAGTTTCCTGTTTTATTGTGAAGGTGAGTGTGATCAGTTTAGTGTTTCCCCTGTCCCGTCAGCCCAGATTCCTCCCAGCTGTGTTGCCCTCCTGTCTCTCATCCCCTGATTACTGGTGTGTGTATTTAAGCCCTGTGTGTTCTCCTGCCTGTTGCTGGTTCGTCTGTGGTCCTCCGTGTCAGTCTGTGTAACTCGGTGTCAGTCTGTTACCCTGTGTTCCACGGTGTCCTGTTCCTCGTCTGCGTCTCTCTGCTATTCATCAGCCGTTGTCATATGCTCCCAGGTCTGTTATTTTAGTTCTCCCAGTTTAGGTGTCTTTAGTTGTTTGTTATGCCCCACTGTTTGTTTGCCACTACACCTCTGTAAATAAAACCACCGGTATCTCATCCACTGCCTGCATCTTGGGTCCTCCTTCTATATCCACACGGCTCGCCTCGGCAGCCGTGACAATTTTAGCATTGAAGCTATTGACGAGCTCATTGACTGAACCTTTGGACAGGTCAGGTGTTAATGGGAAGACCTGGTTAAAAATTGCACTACTGTGTTCAGTTATACACCGTTTTGTGATCACTGTTGTTGATATATTTATGTGGGCTGAGATTTTACTTTCAAAGAAAACACAGTAATGATCAGACAGGCCCACATCAGACACAGTAACCTTTGAAATGCTCAGGCCCTTGGAGATCAGTAGGTCAAGAGTGTGTCCTCTATTATGTGTGGCCTCTGTTACATGCTGAGTCAGCCCAAAGTTGCCCAGAGTGTTACTCAGGTCTTTAGTCCCTTTGTCCTGAGGGTTGTCCACATGAATGTTAAAATCCCCAACAATAATTACACAGTCAAAATCAACACAGATCACAGACAGCAGTTCACTGAGGTCATTAAAAAAAGTCTGTGCAGTATGTGGGAGGCCTGTAAACATTAAGAAACACAACTTTGGATGGGGCCTTCAGCTGTAAAGCCACATATTCAAAAGACTGAAAACTTCCAGGAGATAGCTGCTTACATTGAAATGATTCATTAAATAAGACAGCAACCCCTCCTCCTCTCCTGCTCACCCTGGCCTCACTGATAAAACTGTAGTTAGGAGGGGTCGTCTCGATGAGAACAGCTCCACTGTTACTTTGGTCCAACCAAGTTTCAGTTAAAAACATAAAATCAAGGCTGTGCTCAGTGATTAAATCATTAATTAAAAATGTTTTCCCAGCTAAAGATCTAACGTTTAATAAAGCCAACTTAAGTGTTTTAGAGGTATTACTTGTCCCCTCGTGTTTGGGAGCAGTCTGTGGCACACAAGGTATGTTTACTATGTTTAAAGATCTTTTAGAGTGCAGCTCTCTGTGTTTTGACCAGGCCACATGTCTCCTTCTGTCACCTAAAAGTACAGAGATTTTAAAACCTTCTAGTTAACAGGGTCCCAGCTTCTCCTGGGAAAAGTCACCACTGCCATAATCCTCGCAGCCCGGACCCTCCACACATCACACATCAGACTGCGGAGACAAAGCATGAAGGTGGTAAGGAGGAACTAAGGGGGGCGAGGCTGGGCAATGTGACTTCGATTGCTCTGTTGAGGGTGGGGCTCGATGGCGAACCTTTGGCCGCTCTGGTGGGGGGTTTATGGGGGACAAAAAGGGATTGGGCCGGGGGGTAGATCTGAGCCCAGCATTGACCCGCTCCATCATCTCCTCGGTGAATTAGACGTAGGCTGTCGGGGATTCCCATGATGCATTGAGTTTTTCCTTTCCAGTCACCTTTCTCACTCACTATGTGTTAACAGACCTCTCTGCATCAAATCATATCTGTTATTAATCTCTGTCTCTCTTCCACAGCATGTCTTTATCCTGTTTTCCTTCTCTCACCCCAACCAATCACAGCAGATGGCCCCGCCCCTCCCTGAGCCTGGTTCTGCCAGAGGTTTCTTCCTGTTAAAAGGGAGTTTTTCCTTCCCACTGTCGCCAAAGTGCTTGCTCATAGGGGGTCATATGATTGTTGGGTTTTTATCTGTATCTATTATTGTACGATCTACTCACAATATAAAGCGCCTTGAGGCGACTTTTGTTGTGATTTGGTGCTATATAAATAAAATTTAATTAAATTGAATTGAATTTTGTATTTTGTAAGTGTTTTGGATTTTGTAAGTGTTTTGGATTTTATATGTGTTTTGGAGTTTGTACATGTTTTGTCTCTAGGGGCCACCGTAAGGTGCCATCTTCAGTCTCAGCTGACTGCAGGTTTCCAACCTTAAACAGGACATTTACACAATGACTGAAACCAGCACCACTGAATGAACAGTGTCATGACCATTGATCAACAACCACTGATCAAGAAGGTGACGTGATGACGAAATGTTTCTCACACTGAAAACGTCCAGATGAACAGAATAAACTTCTTGGGATTTCTGAGCAACTTTAGGCTCATGCAGAGGTCACATCAGTTGGCTTTGTTTGGTCCCTGCTGAAGTCTTGGTGGTTTGAAGTTGGCGTGTGTGTGTGTGAGAAAGAGTGAAAGAGAAAGAAAGCTCTAACTATATATGAAGCCCTTTATGAGTTTGCACAGATGCTTTTTGTATTAAAATGAGTTCATTCACGCTCTGAATCTGGTCCTCGTGTTGGGACCGATGGGGAGCACATCATTGATGTTTAGGAGACAGCTCAGATTCATTATGTGACTAAACAGGAAAACAAAGAATTTGTACAGCTTTTGTTTTTTTTCTACTAACAAAGAAGTAAAACTGAAGCATATCATATATCATACTCGTCTGCTTGAACCTTGGGTCAACACCTGAACGTGGACCGAGGTGGAACAATCTCCACCCACTGATAAGATAAACCATAAACCTTTGAGCTGCAACACGTCACCATCAGCTGACTTTAAAGGTTTGTTTTCGTCAACTGAAACCAGCAGAGAGCTCAGAGGTACATCAGAAGCAGGATGAAGAGAGGAGCCCAGGGGGGTCTATGTAATACTGGACTGGAGCTGGAGGACATGACAGGAAGAACCGTCCAGGTGAGTGGGATTTTCCTCATATGCAGCCAGCTGGAGCTTAACTCCTCAATGCTTAAAAATATTTGTACTCATAAAAACTTTATTCGATTGCTTGGTGGGTGTCTTTAACAGACTTTAGCAGAAAAAACAGTGTATCCAGGTGTCCTCAGGTATTTACTTGTCCTCAGGAATCAGGGTGTCCACAGGGATCCAGGTCCTCTGTGTCAGCAGCAGCTTGGTGGGTGTCTTATTACAGAGGTCGCTGGAGGCAGAAAAGAAGAAAGCTTACAGGTAAGTCCAGCTGAGCTCAGTCGTTGCAACAAGTCTGAGTTTGGTCTTCATCAAAGCTTCTTTTTCAGGATTTCAGGTGGAGGTCAAATACTGTGGTCTGGCTGAGGATGATGAAGATGACAAAGAGCAGAGGGACAAAATAGACAACATCAACAAAAACCAACAACTCAACAAAAAACTGCTCGATCACTTCAGACATCTGGCTGCAACCAACCAGGACACTGACCAGGTAACAATCAGTGAGAAGTGTCCGTATAAAATCAAACCATTTTTCTTTTCCTCTGTTTGTATTCATGTTTGTGTGTTTGTTCAGGTGGACCTTCAGCTTCTGGACCGGGCGATCTCAGACGGAGCTGATCCGAACGCCTCAGACAGATATGGACAGACCGTCCTGCACGAGGTCACACGGGAAGTCACTTCTGCCCTGTTAGCCGTTTGTTCACACACCTGCAGGACGGTCACTGAGAGCTTCTGGAGAGCTTGTGCTGTGTCTGTGTGGTACAGGTGTGTGTCTGCAGAGAACTAATGCAGGTACGTGTGTGTTCAGATCTCCAGAGCGTGGAGCGTGGATGTGATGCGGTTCTTCCTAGACCGGGGCTCAGACCTCCTGCGGCCAGATCAGTTTGGAGTCACTGCGCTGCATGTGGCCTCGGCGCTGGACTATCAGGACATGGTGCAGTTCCTGCTGGACCGAAAAGGTCTGTGGACACTAAAGCATGAACAGTGTGTGATGGGAAGTCATGTGATAGAGTCACATGACTGCATGTGTGTTATGATCAGCTGATCCGGAGGCTCGCACCTTTCTGGACAAGCAGACCCCGCTTCACTACGCTGCGAAGAATGATGCCGTCGGTTCGATCAGGCTTCTGCTGCAGGCCGGAGCCTCCATCAGCTGCACCGACTACAAACGCAGGACACCACTGCAGCTCGCCGCTAACGCAGGTACCACTGACACACACTGCAAAAATTGCCTGTTTAGAAATAAGGAAAAATAATAATTGACTTTAAAGAAGATCCTGACTATAATAAGTGAAATAAGATAATTACACTCGATAAGATTTCTTGAAATAAGAAAAATTATGTAGACAAGTATGTTTGAAGTCAGATCAACTGAAAACAAACCCGTCAGTAATGCTTTCAGTGTTGTTTCTTTTTCACTTTGAGAGGAAGGATCTTCTGGTCACCCGTCTGTCACAGGGCTAACAGTCTTGCCTGTGGACGATTTGGAATAAGCGATTAACTTCAATCTTTGGACTGTGGGAGAGAACCCAGAGGGGAGGCACAAGGCAGATGCTGGAGTTGAACTCAGAACCTTCTTGATGGAGGGAGTGGTGCTAGCTACTGGACCAGTTTCCTGTCCATGTTTTTAAAAGTCTGTACAAGAAAAAACTGCACTGCAAAAATCGATTTTCAAGAAAGTAAAAAAAAAACTTTGTTTCTGAACATTTTTTCGTATTTTTTGTCTAAAAAGAAACCATATTCTTACCAAGCAAAATTAAGCACATGCTAGGAAAATATGTCTAACTTTTCTATAATAAGATATTTCAGAGACAGACACTATCTCTACTTTTAAGATTAGGCTTAAAACTTTCCTTTTTGTTAAAGCATATAGTTAGGGCTGGACTGCGGACCCACAACAGGTGTAGGCTGCCGGGGGATTCCCATGATGCACTGGGTGTTTCTTCTTCAGTCAGCTTTTCACTTATTTACTTCGTTGCATTTGATTATTCGTTATTATTAACCCTTGGCTCTCTTCCACAGTACTTCTTTGTTGCGTCTTCCTCTGCTAACCTCCAGATGGCCCCGCCCCTTCCTGAGCCTGGTTCTGCCAGAGGTGTCTTCCTGTCAAGAGGAAGTTTTTCCTTCCCACTGTCTGATTGTAATCATCTCTTTGTGTCTTCAGAGCGTAGTGATGCAGCTCGTGTGCTGTTGGAGCTCGGGGCGGAGGCGGGGCTGAAGGACTCTGATGGACAGTTCTGTATAACAGCTCTGATTGGCCGGATGAGCCCAGTGGTATAACGTCCCACATAAAAACAACACAGCTGTGATTCGTTCACAGACATTGTTATGTAACATGTGGTTGTGTTTAGGCTCAGCTGGCTCTCAGTCAGTTCCATGTTTTCGACCGAATGACCAGGCAGCACTACTACTACCTGAACCTGCTGGAACCAGAACTACACTCACCTGAGGACCAGCTGTCAGGTGATACTACAGTGTGCAGTCTGGCGTACAGCAGCCTCACAGCTGCAGTAGTACTTCTGCAGTAGTGTTGATATTACAGCTGCTGGTCTTGCCTAACACCCCTCTGTCTGTCTGTAGGTGTGTGGGTCGGTGAGCCAATGTCTCCGGTAAGTTTCAACAGTAAGTGAAGGGATTCAAACCTCGGCATCCCCATTAGCACCACCTGAGCTACATTTAAAGAAAAAAAATCATCTTGTCCAGAGGGATCCCCATGATTTAATAAGGCATCCTATAATATTACTCATGGATTAGTGTCCTCTTAAACTAAAATTAGGATCAAACTGTAGAAAAAAAAATGATGATGATGCAGATGTTTACTGGGAGTTGGGGCGTCTACATGACTGAGTCAGGTTCCTTCACTAAGTGCCTGTCTGAAGTTCTAAACAGCTCTTTGGATCAACTCCTCGTCCTCTGAAGGATGTATGATGGTGTGGGTACACATCTACTCTGTGGCCTTGGGATCACCGCTCTGCTTTTTGTGTTGATGCGGTTATTTTAGCCTCATTGAGCTATCCTGATGGTTCACTGTCGAGCGTGAAGGGCAGAAAAGAGAACGCCTCAGGTTTAAGGTCATAGTCCTCAATAGGAAAAGGGTGGAGGCCGTACTCCAGAACAGGGACAAAGTGGAGGAGTTTAAGTATGTTGGGTTCTTGTTTAAGTGAGGGCAGACACATGTCAACACATAGTTTAGCACCATGACTGCAGTGACACTGTAGCTTTGGTGAAACCAAAGGTGTCCATTTACCAGCTGATCTACTCCCACCCTCATCTACACTCACAATAGTGATGGGATTTCCGGCTCTTTTTGGAGAACCGGCTCTTTTGGCTCGGCTCACTAAAAAGAGCCGGCTCTTCAGGTTGTTTTGTTGCTTTAATTAATTTATTATTAACAATAATATAAAATTATGCACAAAAGGAATTACTAATGTAAAAAAAAGTGGTTTTATTTATATATGTTTATATATAAATATATACGGTAGCCCCTAGAGACAAAGCACATACGAACGGCAAAACACATTTCTAGCGTTAACTGAAATTCCAAAACAGAGCTACATCACTTAAATTACACAATTGAAAGCATATGTGTATTGTTTGTGTATTTATACTAGAGATGGACCGATCCGATATTACGTATCGGTATCGGTCCGATACTGACGTAAATTACTGGATCGGATATCGGAGAGAAATAAAAAATGTAATCCAATCCATTAAATATCAAAAAAAGCACCTCACAAAACTTGCGACACAGCGTAACTCGCCTCATAACCGTAGCACGTTGCAGCAGTATGTGTCACGTGATAGAACGGCTGTGTGTATTTGTAGCCTCGCTACCAAACCGGCATTTCATCTCCGAGGAAGTTATCCCAGAGAGAAGTAAAGCAAGTGTGTAAGTTCATCTCTGAATGTTTGTAAAGCATTCCCACGTTAAGCTTAACAACCGATATATGGAGCGACTGCCTCTTCTTGCTGCTACTTCAATCATGAAACTGAACAATGATCTGATCAGCTGATCGGCTTTTCTGTCGCGAGTCCGTCTCTCTTGTTTGTTTTTGCACCAGAAAGAGGAAACCAGCGGCTGAACAACAGCAGCACGTTTAACCTTGATAAGCTGTTGTTAGAATTTATTTAATATTACTTTCTACACCAGGTTCTTTTTCTACGCAGCTGACGGCTGGTAATTGTGCAGGGGCGGATCTAGCAAAGGGGGGCCGATAGGGCATTAACAGGGAAAAGGGGGCACAAAGACATACTTTTCTTTCTTATTCTCATTTAAAATGTCTAGCTTTTAATAAATATTTATCTGAATCTTACACCCAAGTTTTAATCTGATCTAAAATGTATAGAAGTCCATTACTGTATATAGTAACTGTTAAGTCTAATATATCCTAGTAAGCTATAGTATTTTTTCCTTTGGGAAGATACCATCTGTGCAGTCTGCAGTTCTGTTGAAGAAAGATGTTGAATCTATTTAATTATTCTTGAAAAATAATTTATTTCTGTGCATTTTTTTTTCACACTGCATCAAATTAACGTTGATTACGTCGATTAAGCATCATGAGGCGGAGGGTGGGGGGTGGTTCCCTATTTTTTTTTGCTGGGAGTTGGAACCCTATTAGTTAGGTTGCTTAATATTTCTGCTAAGTACTCTTTAAAATACCAGAATAGGAAGGATGGAGCAGGTTTAAGTTTATTAGATTGATCAGTTTTGCTAAACTATGAAATATTTTGGGTGCAGTGTATTTTTTACATACAGGTATAACAGAATAGTATTATTGTTGTTTTTTATTTAAACTTGAGTATGAACTTATACAAAATGCAGCAAGATATTTAAAAAAGTTTTATTGATTAAAAAACACACTATATCGGATTCATATCGGTATCGGCAGATATCCAAATTTATGATATCGGTATCGTATCGGACATAAAAAAGTGGTATCGTGCCATCTGTAATTTATACACAAGCACTCATATATATTCAAATAATTTAAAAAAAAAATTTTTATTTACCTGTTACTACCACACACCAAATCCGGTCATTGGTAATTCTTGGCTTATGTAGCCACTAGGTAACAAAAGCTCAACACTGCGCCCTAGCATACTGGAGCACTTCTGTTGTGTTTTGTTTGTGCTATGGAGTTTTTACGTGTTTTGGAGTTCGTACGTGTTTTGGAGGTTTTACGTGTTTTGGAGTTCGTACGTGCTTTTTCTCTAGGGGCCACCATAAATATACTTTTATTTATTCACTCCGCATAAAATGTAATAAATAAATCATATATCCTGTGCTACTGCGAGTGTAACTACCGCCCCTCCCCCCTCTTCCCAGCGCAAAGCACAAGGCTTGCATGCGGAGTGAAGCGGAAAAAAGTGAGAGAGAAAGAAAAAAAAAACCCACAGCTCCCAATAAGGAGCCGACTCGCGTTGTTCACTTCAAAGATCCAGCTCTAAGAGCCGTTTCTCTCGTGACCGACACATCACTAGCTCACAAGCTGTGCTTAGTGACCAAAAGTATAAGACTGAAGATAAATGAAGCAGAAACAAGCTTCCTCTGCAGAGGATCTGGGCTCAGCCTTACAACAGGGCAGGAGCCTGGAGTAGAGCCACTACCACTACACTACTTAAAACGGCTTCTAGTATGTGTCAACACAATTCTCATCATCCTTGGGCTAGGAGTCATTGCTTGAATAATTCATGGGTCAGAGTTCAGAGGGTCAATAACCAAAACCATCCAGTGAAAATGGTCAGGTACAAGGACTGTACTGAACATGAGTGAAAAGCAGCCAATGTCCAAAGAGGAACAAAATAAAATACATAAGCAATGGCTCATGACTTTTGCACAGCACTGCTTGACGGAGCTTAAGAACCAGTGCAGGTTATTTTTGTTTGATGGCATCAGTGCACAGAGGATTTTATTTTACGTGCTATAAATGCAGTCGGACATCAGCTGTACCTGTATCTGTTCAAGCTGCAGATGGTGATTCAGGAGGAGAAACTTGATCTCATCATGAATCCCGTCTTCCTCAAACTGATCCACGTCAAATGGAATCTCTACGGCAGGTAAAGTCTCTCTGACTGATGGTTATGTCAGGTGATAGGACACTTTTCTACCTGCATGTCTGTCTGTCCTGCTGACAGGTTTGGGGCATGGCTTCTCCTTATCCTTAACTTCCTGTTTAATGTTTCCTGGACGACTGTCGCTATCTCAGTGTCTGTCCACCGAGACTCACCTGATCGTTATGTCCTCCCCGAGGTAACCTGTCTGTCACACCTAACCTATCTATCTATGTGTCACCTGTGTATCTCTCACATGCGTTACTCTAACATTTATGTTACACCTGTCTGTCTCAGGACTGGTGGTGTGTCCTCTTTGTGGTCTTGGCGCTCCTGTTGACCCTAGAGGAAGTGCTAAGGGATGTGCGGGACATCCTGCGCTCAAGGAAAAAGCTCCACCTCTGGCAGCAGTTGGTGAAGCATCGTCTCCAGAGTGACCTGAGCTGCTCACATCCCATGTGGCCACAGGTAGGAATCAGGATGATGTGATGGACAGGAACAGGAAGTATCAGATATTTCAGGTGTATGTCTGTGAAGGTTCTCAGTCATCCAGGTCATCGTAGTCAAAGGAGCTTGCAAAGAAAAGTGTCTGGACTTCTTTAAGTTACTTGAAGACGTTTCACCTCTCATCCGAGAAGCTTCTTCAGTTCTAAGGTCAAATGGTGGAGAGTCCCAGATGTAGACAAAGCAGAGTTGTTCCTAAGAGCCTGCGCCTTGGATCCACTGTCAGGGGATACAGAGCAGACTTGATTCTACAGAGAGCACAAAATCACCTTTTAAGTGAAAGGATAAGACAGGTCCATTTCACTATAGATGCCCTCCAGATCAAGATCAGCCAGACCCTGCAGGAACTGGAAACCCTTCTACCCTCTCCAATCTTAGAAGAGGTTTACAAGTTTGTGGACAAGGCTCAGCGGGCGCAACACTCTAAAGGAAAAGAAAGACAACGCAGGAAATTTCACACCTTGCTTTCAAAAACACACACTCCTCATTCTGAACCTACACAACCCAGAGAAGAAAACACACCTGAAGACAGTCAGGAGAAATGGGTTAAGAACTTTTCAGACAGGATTCTCACTGAACCTGAAAAGAGAGTATTAGCCAAAGGACTACATTTTTCCATTTCTCCACAACAGTTGCCCATAGTGGACCTCATCACAGCCACAGAATCTGCCATACGGATTAATAAATTATCACAGACAGAAGCAGAGCAAATCAGGATGAAAGTCTCAGCCACGCTCTCCAGTGCCAAAGTCCCTCCATCCAACCTCACAATACAGGAAAAGAAGGCCGTTGCTTCCCTGAGCAAAGACCACAGCATCACTGTTTTACCAGCTGATAAGGGAAGATGTACCGTGGTCCTAAACACTACAGATTACCATACAAAGATCACTACTCTCCTCAGTGACAACAATACCTACGAAGCCTTAAAGCGAGACCCCACAAGCAGCTACAAAAAGAAAGTTATAGTTTGCCTTCAAGACTTTGAAAAGGACAAAATTATTGACCACCTTACATATCACCGCCTTTACCCAGGGGATGCCATACCCTGCATTTACGGACTTCCTAAAATCCACAAGGAAGCTGTCCCACTCAGACCCATAGTCAGTAGCATAAACTCAGCCACTTATAACATTGCTAAACACCTTGCTACCATCCTTGCTCCTCTCGTGGGGAACACCCCACACCACATCAAGAACTCCACCGACTTCACCGACAAGGTCCAGAAACTTACCCTGGATCCAGATGAAACCATGGTGTCCTTTGATGTAGTCTCTCTCTTCACTTGCATACCCACCACGGAGGCCGTGGAGACTGTCAGAAAACGACTACAAGAAGAAAGCTCCTTGGAAGACAGGACCAACTTCACACCCGATCAGATCTGCACACTGTTAGACCTCTGCCTCACCACTACATATTTCAAATACAACGAAGGCTTCTACAGACAAAAACATGGCTGTGCCATGGGCTCCTTCGTGTCACCTATTATAGCCAACCTTTACATGGAGGAAGTGGAAAGGAAGGCTCTTGGCTCTTTCAAAGGAAGAGTACCCAGCCACTGGTACAGATATGTGGACGACACCTGGGTCAAAATCAAGACACAAGAAGTGGAATCTTCACTGCGCACATTAACGCTGTGGATAAAAACATCAAGTTCACCAGGGAAGACACAAAGGACAACTGTTTGCCTTTCCTGGACTGCGCTGTGCACATTGAAGAGAACGGCAACCTCAACATCGAAGTTTACCGGAAGCCCACACACACGGACCAGTACCTCCTCTTTGACTCCCATCACCCTTTGGAACACAAACTTGGAGTAATCAGGACCCTACACCACCGGGCAGAACATGTTCCCTCTAAGCCTGAAGGAAAAAAGAAGGAACACACACATGTAAAGGAAGCACTCAAAACGTGCGGATATCCTAAATGGGCGTTCTTAAAGTCAGCAAAGAGGCACAGAAAAGAAGATCAGACACCAGCAAGGGAGGATAAGAAGGACAGACGCAACAACATTGTCATCCCCTATGTATCAGGTGTATCAGAGAAACTCAGGAGTTTTCTCCAAGCATGACATCCCAGTGTATTTCAGACCCAGCAACACGCTCAGACAAAAACTGGTTCACCCGAAAGACAAAACGCCAAAACACAGACTTAACAATGTGGTGTATGCTGTACAGTGCAGCGAGGAATGCCCAGACCTCTACATTGGAGAGACCAAACAGCCACTTCACAAGCGCATGGCACAACATAGTAGAGCCACCTCCACAGGACAAGACTCAGCAGTCCATCTGCATTTAAAAAAGGTCAAAGGTCACTCTTTTGAAGATGCCAATGTTCACATTTTGGACAGAGAGGACAGATGGTTTGAAAGAGGAGTGAAAGAAGCCATCTATGTCCACTGTGAGCGACCATCTTTGAACAGAGGCGGGGTTTACGACACCAACTCTCTGCCATCTATAATCCAGTTTTGAGATCCCTTCCCAGACGCCTTAACGCCCACTCACATCCTGGGCCAGCTGACCTCAGGAATTCGCATGATAAGGTGGGGCCAGGTTTCACAATGAACACACCCGAAACTCTGGCTGATTGGGACCCACACCCAGTTTCACACCTTGGCTCAGGCGATTAGAGGATCATCAGGGGGTCCTTTTGTCCCTTTGTGGAGGGAAACTCCCACTAGGTTTATATCTGGGACTCTCCACCATCTGACCTTAGAACTGAAGAAGCTTCTCGGATGGGAGGTGAAACGTCTTCAAGCAACTTAAAGAAGTCCAGACGCTTTTCTTTGCAAGCTCCTTTGACGTTTCAGGTGTATGTTGTGTTTACAGGAGAGAGAGTTTCTACTAAACCAGTTCAAACTGGTTGACAGGAAGAGAGGAAGCTACTGCCGGGACCTGTGGTACTGACACACACACACACACACAGAACAAAAACCAAATGTAATCATGTGTGAAACAATCACTTTATTACATTTTAGCTTCACTATGTCCCAGTGTGAATGCATGGTCAGAGCAATCAGAAAGAGTATCTGCATCACAATGGACATCAGGTGTGCAGATCAATATCACAGCAAGAAATCAGGACATTGAAACCCCCACCATCAAAAGTATAACGCAGAGAAATCAGGTTCAGCTCTAGTATCTACTATCTAGTATCTAGTATCAGTCCACATTAATCCACTGAAGGAGGCGGAGAAAAAGCTCAGAAAAGGTTAAAATATGGTTGGTGTGATCTTTAAATGATCATTTGCATGGATCAATGAAAAAGGAAGAAATTCATCATCAGCTGAGCAGGGGGTAGATAAGAGAAAAGAGTGAAAACGTCAAAAGAGCATCTGGCTGTACTTTTGTGATTGTTGAGAATGAGAAGCTAAGTGCATCATTTTTTAAAAATAGCAGCTGGATAAAGAGAAAATTGCTTCCTTGAAAGAGAATAAATGTGCAGTTCAGTATTGAATATTAAATGGTAAATGGCCTGTATTTATATAGCGCTTTACTAGTCCCTAAGGACCCCAAAGTGCTTTACATATCCAGTCATCCACCCACACACATTCACACACTGGTGATGGCAAGCTACATTGTAGCCACAGCCACCCTGGGGCGCACTGACAGAGGCGCGGCTGCCTCGCCTCTGTCAAAAATTTACTATTACAAAAAAATAAACTATACATAAAGTGTGTTTGAATGGCAGCGTTGCAGAAATGTGTGCATGTAGCACAGAGCCATGGCTTGGAGTCTGAATGAGTCTCACAGGCCTGATAGTGCGCTTCTAGCCATTCATAATTATAATTACAATTTATAATTCTTAATTTGTTTAATCTGCTGCTCTCCGTAAATAAGCACAAGCAGGAATGTTGAACTTTTAACTGTGTTTCAATAACTTTTACAGCTTTTCCTTCTGATAAAAACCTCCCTTATGGCCATTCATACAACACAAAGTCATGAAGCCATAAACCATTAAATGACAGAATAGTTTCTGTTTTTCACTTCCTGCAATAATCATAAAGAGCACAAGTCTGTATAGTTAGAAAAAAAAATCTGAACAGTGTGCGCAATGAGCTAGCAGACCTTTTTCTGTAATTTCACTCATTTATTTCTTATAGTTTAAAGAGTTGTGCTGACAGATTTCCTTCTTTATCACAGCAATTTTTCTTCATCCATCCACTTCTTCTTCATTCACTTATTCGGGGCATGGGTAGCGGGGGCAGCCTAAGCAGAGAAGCCCAGATTCAAGATTCAATTCAAGATTCAAGAGCTTTATTGTCAATACAACAGTATACACAGTATACTGTTTCACCCCAAGCCTCCCATGGTGCATTTATAAGTATATTAAAGATATATCTCCAAGAGATATAAAACTGGGATTTACAAATAAATAACGTGCTAAATTTCGGTAAAATTAAGGTAAGGCAATTAAGGTACTAATCACTAACTACACAATACTAGCTGTATGATAAAGAAAGACAGGACAGAGACAATACAAAGTGGATTGTGCAGCGGTATTGAATACCAGGTTCAAGTTATTGTCAGGATTTTACAGACGAGACATGACAAAGACACGTGCAAAATGTGCAAATGTAGTATAATTTAGATGTGTGCAAACAGGCATATTAAGCAGGTGGATTGTGTAAGTTTAAGTCTTTTGATGAGTATTGTAAGGTATTTATAAGGGTGTTTGTGTTTATCAGTCCTTTTGTGGTAGTGAGATGAGAGCTTTCCCTGCTTGGGGGAAGAAGCTCTTGCAGTGTCTGGTCGTTAAGTTTTGATACTGCGAAACCGTCTGCCAGATGGAAGGAGGGAGAACAGTGCATGTGAGGGGTGGAAAGTGTCCTTCACTATGCTGTTCACACATTGGATAATGTGTTTGTGGTTGAGTTGGGAGATGGGTGGGAGAGGGCCTCCAATGATCCTCTCTGCTGTCCTCACTATCCACTGCAGAGACTTCTTTTCAGCGAGGGTGCAGATCCCGTACCAGATAGTGATGTAGCAGCAGAGGACGCTCTCAATGGTTCCCTGGTAAAATGCTGTGAGAATGCGAGGAGGGTAGGGATGGGCATGGATAAGATTTTTACAATTCCGATTCCATTTTCGATTCTGTTTAACGATTTGATTCTTTATCGATTCTCTTATCGATTCTTATTTTTAAAAAAGGAGAACACTAAGGTCGATTAGCTTAGAACTTTGTTTTATATCTTCTCTTTGAACAAGATAGAAAATTAGGAGTAACGTGGCCTTACAAACCCAACAGTGAGATCTTAAGAGATCCACAGTGATAGGTTTGTAGCTTGAACCTATTCGCTGGAACGTTGAAGACAATATAATTACACAGCAAGCAAGACACAAAGTAGGCAAAGTTCTTCTTGTTACTCATGCATGAGGGAGACCTGCCTGGAGCCAAGTGTTGTCCCACCACTTGACCTCCACAAAGAATACTGTGTGTGTGTGTGTGGGGGGGGGGGGGGGATCAGAGTGTGACCCCATAAATGACTTCCCTAAACCTGCTGGTTTGGAAGTCCAACAGTTCATCTAAACAAAAGGCACTTAGCCTAAAACAGACACAGCCACGTTTATCCTGCCATAAAACAATAAAACAGGGTATGACCTCTTCTCATGCTCCCAGGATGTAGGTGTGCATTCCAGTGTGGAATACACACCAAGCCTTTGCAGCCTGCTAAAGATCACACATCCTATCACTACACAATTGATTATACACCTCTAAGCATATATGGTTAAATATTTCTAAGCATAAATGACAATCAACAATACAAAACCTAACACACAGCCTCTTCAATGGGGTGTCACAGGGTCCCCAGGAAAAAACATTGTAAATGTAAAATAATAAAATAAATATTCTTCTGTAGCAATAACAAAGTATAACATAAATTATTCTGTAGCAATTACACAAGAATATCCAGTAATGTCCCTGCCTACAATTAAACACATTCACTTACTGAAAACCATCTGCTGTGGCAAACGGCTGCAAGCCTTTGACCACAAACTGAGTCTCTGCTCGGTGACATTCGTCTATCCTGCCTGAAAGGAGACGCTACCGGTAGACTGCAGCGAGAACTGCCAGCATCTGAGCCAGACTCTGTCTCATCATGGTCACTAAATGCACAGTAATGGCAGGTTTGTAATAAGGCAGATGGCACTAACATAACATGCACTGTTAGTTGATTATTTACCTGCCGCATTAACGGGAGAGGACGTGCAAACGTTACCGCTGCTGCTGGGTTGAGATTCACGAGTCGAGCGGAATTAAAAACACGACATTCATTTAAGGTCATCGTGTGTTTTGTGAGCAAATGCTTTTGCATATTCGTAGTGTTTCCTCCCTTAAATGAAATATCTACTTTGCAAGTATTGCAAGTTGCCCTGTTGTCATCCGTTCTCGTAAAGTATGACCAAATTTTTGAGCGTTTGAGCCACTGTGTTTCCTGCCAGGTAAATGACGCTCCGCAACGTGCTGACGTCATTCGGGGCGACTGGAATCGATAAGGGAATCGTTTGCAAAAATGACAAACAATCCCAAGGAATTGAAACAGTGGGAACCAGTTCTCAACAAGAACCGGGTTTCGATACCCATCCCTAGAGGAGGTAGACTGGCCTTCTTCAGTTTCCTAAGAAAGTGAAGACGTTGTTGGGCTTTCTTCATGATGGTGGTGGTGTTCAGGTTCCAGGAGAGGTCAGCTGATATGTGCACTCCCAGGAACTTCACACTGTTGACCATCTCAGCAGCAGACCCGTTGATGTGCAGTGGGGTGTGGATCATTGAGCTCTTCCTGAAGTTAGCAACCATCTCTTTAGTCTTCTGAGCATTTAGAGACAGGTTGTTATTCTGATACCAGTCCACCAGGTGTTGTACCTCCTCTCTGTATTCAGACTCATCGTTGTTGATGAGACCCACCACTGTTGTGTCATCTGCAAACTTGATAATGTGATTTGAGCTGTACTGTGCAGTACAGGCATGTGTTAGCAGGGTGAACAGCAGTGCACTAAGCACACAGCCCTGTGGCGATCCTCTTCTCAGTCTTCTGCACTAAGGGACACCCTTCGAACATGGTATTTGTTATGGACAAACTGTTTGCACAGAAATCCAACAACAAAACACTGCTCTGAAGTCTTCCAGTAGGACAATAGAGTCCCCAGGTGGAGCACTCAGGGACACCAATAAGGCTAAACCATCATTTGTCGCATAAGCACAGACAACAGTCAGGACCCGTTCCCCAACCCAAAGGCACAGGGAAGAAATCCTCTCATCCACTGGGAGAAACCCCAACATACATACCTGGTCCCTCACCAGGCAAAGAAGGACTAAGTGGGACAAATAAGTCTCACTCAATAAATTTATAATGATAATAAATTTTATTTATGAAGCACCTTTCAAATGGTAAATGGCCTGCATTTGTATAGCGCTTTTCTAGTCCCTAAGGACCCCAAAGCGCTTCACACTACATCCAGTCATTCACACACACATTCACACACTGGCGATGGCAAGCTACATTGTAGCCACAGCTGCCCTGGGGCGCACTGACGGAGGCGAGGCTGCTGGACACTGGCGCCACCGGGCCCTCTGACCACCACCAGTAGGCAAACACGGGGTTAGTATCTTGCCCAAGGATATTTGGCATGCAGCCAGGAGGCAGCCTGGGATCGAACCACCGACCTTCTGATTAGTGGCTGACCTGCTCTGCCACCTGAGCTACAGCCACCCGACAAGACACCCAAGGAAAATTAACAATAGAATAAAACACATAATAGAACAAAGACAAAATGAAGAACAATAGAACAAAAGCACAAGATAAAATTAACAAACATTGGGTTCACAGTGAACTTGCAGATTTGAACAGATGGGTTTTGAGTTGAGATTTAAACTGGAGGAGAGAAGCAATGTTTCTTATATGTGGGGTCAGAGAGTTCCACCGCCTGAGAGCAGAGCAGCTCTGGTGATGAGGCGGAAGGAAGGCACAGTAAGCTGGATAGAAGAAGAAGATCGAAGTGAGCGGGCAGAAAAGGTAGTGCATAACAGGTCAGAAAGGTAAGGAGGTGCGAGGTTATGAATGGCCTTGAAGGTGAGCAGAAGAAGTCTGAAAATTATCCAGAATTTCACTGTGAGCCAGTGAAGTTCCTGAAGAACAGGTGATGTGCTGGTAGGAGGGGTTCTGGTGAGAATGCGAGCAGCAGAGTTCTGAACCAGTTGAAGCTGATGGAGGGATTTTTGGGGGAGACCATGAAAGAGAGAATTACAACAGTCAAGGCAGGAGGACAAGAATGGACATAGGCTGTCTCCCAATTCAGGGTCTGCAGCCTTAAAGGCCGCATTTCAAGGCCGATTACGTCACAGCGGCGCGCCGAAGGCTGTCCCAATTCAAAGGCTGCTCGAAATGCGGCCCTGAAATGCCTCCTTCATTTCCCTGAATTTTAAGGCTGTGGCAGAGTAGACTTCGTGGTCCCATATATCCCACAATTCATAGCGCGGCAGTCGGTGTGGAGAATTCTGCCGCAGACGGCAGAAGCGGAGCGGCCGAAGAGTAAACTGTGAAAAGTAAGTACTGAATATTATGTCACTTATTTATGTGCAAATGTTTAATACCATTAAACATTACTGTTGCCCACATGTCGGCAAAGTCATGTGACATTAGTGACGTTTGTACTAACTTGGTTTTAAAGCCTTTACTTTAAAATATACGCCGTTCAGTAGCTGAGCTTAATCCTACAGAGAATGATCAAAGCTCATGTAGAAAGAAACAAATGAACAAAAGATTTTCTCCTTCATTTCTGTCAAACAAAGCTGTACGACACATTTCCAGCTGTTAGTATCATGGTTGCTAGGAAACCTGGGCAGCGCAACGGAGGCTTTTTTTTTAAAACTTTATTGACAAACAACAGTATCAGCGCAACGGAGGCTAGACCGTCCCATTTCACAAGCCTCGCACTTAGCGGTCTTAGAGTACACGGCCCTTGAGGATCGTTGAGGCTGCGTACTTTAAGGCTGCAGACCCTGAATTGGGAGACAGCCATAGACTGGGTGGAAAGAGAAGGACGTAACCTGTTAATGTTGTGTAGATGGAAACAGGCAGAACGGGTGAGATTACTGATGGGAGAGTTAAAGGATAGTGAACTGTCTAGGATGACACCAAGGCTCTTAACCTGAGGAGAAGGGAAAACTGTGGAGTTATCGATAGTGAGAGAGAAATGATTAGCCTTCACTAGGTTGGATTCAGTGCCAATAAGGAGGATTTCAGTTTTATCCTCATTGAGCTTAAGAAAATTAGAGCTGAACCAGGATTTTAGTTCAGATAGGCATTCTGTAGGGAAAGAAGGTGGGAGGGAGGAATCAGGCCTGATTCACCTCAGCAAAAAAGTGAAGATCAAATTTGTGGAAAATGGTACCTAGAGGGAGGATGTAAATTATGAAGAGAAGAGGGCCTAAGACTGAGGCTTGGGGTACACCAGAAGTGACCAGGAATAGATGAGAGCGGAATGATTTCAGCTGAATAAACTGGGACAAGGAGATATGATTGGAAACAGGCTAGGGGTGTGTCAGAAATGCCGAGAGAGAAAAGTCTGTTTAGAAGGATGGAGTGAGAGATGGTGTCGAAGGCTGAGCTCAGATCCAAAAGGACGAGAATGTTGAGAAGACCAGAGTCAGCTCCGAGAGGAAGATCATTAGTAACTTCACGTAAAGCAGTTTCTGTACTGTGACATGAACGAAAACCAGAAATCTCTTGTAAATGTTATTATTAAGCAGGTGTGAATGAAGTTGAGCTGCAACCGTTTTTTCAAGTGTTTTAGAAATGAAAGTTAGGTTAGAAATCAGACGGAGGTTGTTAAAGGGCTAATTTGGACTAATCAGGACTAATTTGTCATGGGAGACCATACCAGGGGCCAAAAGCCCCTTGACAACATAGCCCCTAGGATCCTTGGGACACACAAACCCCTCTGTGACTTCTTTACACCAACAGGAAGTTTCACTACACCCACGGCACCCCAGCTCCACTTGTGCCCATGTTGTTCTCTCCAGGTATCTGTCTGCTCGTCAGTGTTCTCACCCATTTGGCTGCTGTGTGCTTCATTTTACATTTTGAGTCCTTGTCTTTTCGTTTGTTTTTCTCTTCATTAGATTAACTAGATTTTCACAACTGACTTTTGTAAAGTTTCTTTATTCTTTCCCAAATTTTAAAGAAACCTCAACTCTCTGTTGTATTAATTCATTTTTTAATATCTGAAGATGTCGTCTTGTTGGATCATGCTGATGGGTTTGTGTGATTTTTCTGAAGTTTTTACAGATGCATATTTGCTTTTTCAGAGGTTATATTCATGAAATCTTTATTTAAAACTTTTTTAAATCACAAAGCAACACTCTGACTTCAGGAATGTCTTTGACTGGCTGGTGTACTTTCTGCTGACTGCATCGTTCAGTGTCCATGTGGCCGATGTGATTGGACCGTCCACCATTCTTAACACCATGAGTTTGCGTATGTTCTCCATCACCATTGTCTTCCTGTGGTTGCGACTCATGAAACACGTCAGAGGCTTCAGGTACTGAAAAGCTACAGTCTACTGCAGAACCGTATGGCTATTGCACAGATAAAGTTTAGTGTGTACTTGCAGGCTGATGGGGCCGTTCATCGTCATGTTGGGGAAGATTGTTGGGGATGTGATGCGTTTCCTGTTCCTCTACGCGGAGATCTTCATCCCGTATGCCTGCAGCTTCTGGATCATGTTCGGAGGTCTGTGTGTGGGAGTAGGTTGGTGTGTTGGTAGTTGATGACATCATGATAACAGTAAGTTAACCCTGCCCCCAGGGATGGCTTCAGTTCCCAGCATGCAGTCTGTCCTGGGCCTGCTGTACAGTCTGTATCGGATCACTCTGGTGGACGAGTACGAGTACGCTGCCATGGTGGCTGTGGATGATGTCATGGCTCCTGTGCTGTGTGGGACGTTTCTGGCAGCGTCTTCAATCCTGTGTGTTAACCTGCTGATTGCCCTGCTGACTGATACCTTCCAGAGGTCAGAGGTCACACCTGCATTTGATAAAACTTTATGTTGGGGGGCAGAAACTGGGACTGCTGCACCAACAAGCTGAAGTCAATAATCATTTCAGCTTGTTATAAACAGCCGCTGTGAGAGTAGCAGGGGCGGATCTACGGGGGTGGCATGATCCTAGAGCCACCCTAGTTTGCTTAGCAAAATGCTGTTTATTTAAAATAATAAGCTAGCATTTGGACTTTGAGCCTGGCTGCAATTAACACTCAATATAAATTCTAAAACTAAATATATTGCATAGTGTTACCTCCCCTCCTCCACACACACACACACACACACACACACACACCACTAAAAAGTGGTTTAGCCCATAGCACGGACTGGCTTTATTTCTTGTTGTCAGTAGCAACCGATGCTGACAATTGTCCCACACAATCATTTTGAATCAATACGTGGACATTTTCAGATTTCAGCACAGGCGGTTGGTTGTTACACTCTGGAAATGGAATGAATATGAGTGTTATTAACCCGCTGGGGTCGACACGCGCCGCACCCCCGAATCACGTGACCGATTTAAGCGGACATAGCTACGAGCTGCAGACATGCTGAGTCTCCATTTCAGCTTGTGTTCAAGACTTCAAACTATATGCCAGTTTTCTATTTTATTTTATTTTATTTATTTATTTATTTTTTTAACCTTTATTTAACCAGGAAGATCCCATTGAGAGTTAAAAAATCTTTTTCAAGGGAGACCTGGCCAAGATTGGCTGCAGCAAGTGTCTCACAGTTACAGAAATTACTAAATCAAACACATGCAGCAACAACACACATGCAATACAACTTTCTAAATACTATCTTACGTTTTGTGCGGGAAGAAATGGTGAAAACCACATTTTCTAAGGACAGTGCTTGGATCATCATGTGTGCACCACCAGCTGACAGCTGCTATGAGGTAAACATGCTGCTGTGCATTTTGGACACACATCTACACTTTGGTCTCATCTGTCTGAAGGACATTGTTCCAGAAGTCTTTGTGTTTCTTGATAATGTAACTGCTGATAGAAGCAGCAGGATGATCTGTGAGGTGTACACGTCAACACTCTCTGCTCACATTCAGACTAATGCAGCACTTCCAAGTGCAGAGGGATAATGAGCCAAAGCAACAATGCCACATTTTAGGAAGATACATTTGATTTCTCTGCTTTATGTCTCAGTAAAATCCACTAATTCCAAACATTCTGTCGCCTCATTTCATGTTAAAAATGTCACAATGCCCCAGTCATTCTTAAGAGGATTATGTACAAAAATATATTTTAAAAAATCACATCTTGACTTTATTTAAAATGAGAGAACAAGTGTGTGTGTCTATGTGTTTTAGGGTTCACAATAACTCACAGGCCAATGCTATGATGCAGCAGGCCGCTGTCATCCTGCAGGTGGAGGAATCCATGCCCCTCCTGCGTCATTTCTACGACAACCAGTACATCTCCAGCCACTGCTCGCCATTGGTCGAACCCTCTGATGATGGCATCACAACAAACTTGCATTACCATGATGAGATGGGACGAATTACAGTGCAGATCAAAGTGCGTTTCTGAAGAACAAATTCTGGTCTAAAGTCATGTGCTTCAGGTTCTCATGGTATCTGTGTGTCTGCAGGAGGTTCTAGACCAGTTCTTGGTCCTGCAGCGGGAGGCGGAGACCACAGAAGGTCCACGGTTAGCAGAACTCCATCACTACTGACACACAATTCTTCTTCATTCAGCTTCTCTAATGTGGATTCTCATTCAGAGTCCAGATGGACCAGGACCAGCAGAACCAGCAGGAGACCCAGAGGAATAAGTGCCAGCAGAGCCAGGAGCTTCAAGAGGACCATGATAAACAGAATCAGAACCAGGACAACAAAGACAAATGTCGCCAAATCCTACAGAGGCAGACCCAGGAGCTTCAGGCCTTGCGAGCAGAGCTGAAGGAGCTCCAGACTCTGGTCTTGCAGCTGGTTAAAACCAAGACCAACTCTGTATAAGAGCTGTGGGTTAGACTGGGAGGAATGTCAGAACCATTGTTTCATGTTTCTGTTTCTCCAGAATCTCCTCTGGTCCAGGACTTCCTGTTTAATTGTTATTTACAAACTCTCATAAATGAAAATACCAGTAAGAAGTTTGCTAAAGGTTCAGTGTCATTCATCTTTAGCTGGTATTTTGGTAGCCATCTTGGAATGAATGTGGACTGTTATTTGAAAATAAAGTCCCCCCCCGAAAAAATAACATCACAGCTTCATTAATGGTTCAGTCCAGAGACATTAGCTGTGTCCCAATTCAGAGGCCCCATCCTCCTCAGGACCCGGCCTTCACAGTCTACGTGGGCCGGGTTCTCCGAAGACTGAGAAGGCCGGAAGTGTGAGGCTGTGAAATGTGATGGTCTAGCCTTCAGATCTGCGTCACCGCTGTCTCGGTGGAATTTAATAAACTCAGCCGTCTGCTCCTTGCTATCTAAAATATAACAGGACACTGGCGTAAACTCTCGACCATCTCACACTTCTGTTTAATCAGTTTTCTGTTTGACGTTTATTCAGCTGTGTGAAAACTAGAACTTTAATTTCAGCCAAACTGATTTACTCAGAAACAAATAAAACACTGAAAGAAGCCAAACAATAACATTTTTAAGTTATCTAAGTGACTTATATATCATGTTTAACCTGAGTAGTGAAGACTGCAGGGGATTGAAACAGGGGCGGATCTAGAGAAATTTTCTTAGGGTGGCAAAATCAAAGCCTTTTTTTTTTCAAACACATATGCAGGTGGTTACATATGGTTAAAATTATTCAAATGCAGTAAGTATACACGTTTTTCATATAAACAAAATTACATAACTTAATTATTGTCTGTAACCCACATAATTAAACACTTTAGTTACATAAAACATGTGAGTTTTGATGTTATGTACTGTATAGCCTGTATGATAAATAAATATGTAGCCCAATAAGTATCCAGAAAAGCTACACAACATCGGGCGGTTCATTTACAAACACAGGTCTAACTCCAGTTAGAAAATAATCAAAGTGTTACATGCTTAAATTACACAAAATGTCAGAAATCTGCACTGTCAAGAACAAAAATGTAAACCTAATTCTTCATGATTTGTTGGAGTCACCCTCCGAGGTCCAAAATATAACTGGTCATTTTGGACATTTGTATTTCACCTTCAAATTCTTTCATTTTATTTTTTTCCTGCCTTGCTTGGTATTGTGGAGGTATGTAATAACGACAGGAGAGGTCTCAGTGTCTCACTCCAACTTTATTAACTGACTCTCAGAACTTCACATATAGTGAGCGCCAAAATCTCCACCCCAACACTTCCCTTCAACTTGGGTGTGAGTGGAGCCACCTGGTGGTCCGCCACACATACCCCCCCCCCCCCGAACACACAGTTAGGTCTCTATTCAGTCCAGGACCCTGGGTCTAAGCAAACGACCCGAACGACTGAACCTGGGAGGGAGAGAACAGGCAGAGGAAGGTCCATCCTGTGAACGAGGCTGGTGAAGGCGAGCAGGAAAGGCAGGAGGAGGCTCAAACGCCGGTGGTCCGGGGGTAGTCCTGGGGGGAAAACCAGAGTTTGTCAACCCCATCGAAGGAGGGCGGCCACGGCGAGGGGCCTGGGCCGGCACTACATTACCGTCCGGAAAAACGTGCAGGTTTAAGTCTGTCAACACACACAGTCTCCCTTCGACCCCCAAAATCCAAAACAAAATGTTTCTGGCCCGGTTCATTAACCCTGAATGGGCCGTCATACAGCGGCCGCAGCGGTGTCCTGTGGGCATCGTGCCTGACAAAAACAAACTTAGCAGTCTCTAAAGTCTTTGGAACAAAGGTGTCAGGCACGCAATGGTGCACCGGACCAGGAACCCTAAGCGAGTGCAAAAGCGGGTTGAGAGATAGCACCGATGGATCGAAGCAGGGAGGAGGATTTTTGGACAAGAATTCTCCAGGCACGCAGAGGGGCTGACCAAACACTAGCTCAGCTGGGGAAGCGCTGAGATCCTCCTTAACCGCAGAGCGCAGCCCAAGCAAAACCCACGGGAGGCGGTCAACCCAATTGCCATCCTTTAAGGAGGCGCGAAAAGCAGCCTTAAGCGACCGTGGGAACCGTTCACACATCCCATTAGCTTGCGGGTTGTATGCAGTTGTGCGGTGGACTTTAGCCCCCAGTCCATCAGCCATGGCTGACCAAAGCTCGGAAATGAACTGGAAGCCTCTGTCTGACGTAATGTCCGCGGGTGGGCCGAAACGTGAGACCCAGCTTGACAAAAACGCCTTGGCCACAACTGCTGCGGTAGCGGACGCCAGGGGGACCGCCTCCGGCCACCTGGTGGTCCGCTCAACAACAGTCAAAAGGTGCGTAAAACCTTGTGACTGTGGCAGAGGACCCACCAGATCGACATGCACATGATCGAAACGTTTGCCGGGTATGAAGAACGGCTCCAGGGGCGCCTTGGTGTGTTTATGAACCTTCGCACGCTGGCAGGGAATGCACGCCAACGCCCATTCCTTAACAGATTTGCGAAGGCCTGGCCAAACAAATTTAGAGCTGACCAGTTTAACAGAGGCCCGGACCCCTGGATGAGAGAGAGCATGTACCGAGTCAAAAACTTGACGACGCCAGGAAGCGGGAACCACTGGGCGAGGGCAGCCGGTGGAAACGTCACAGACGAGGAGGGGGCCACCGTCCTGCACGGGTCTGTCCTCTAGTATGAGGCCCGTCTGGGTGGATTTAGGCGTGAGGATGTCCGGGTCACCGCTCTGATCGGCAGCCATGGCGGAGTAGTCTATGCCGAGAAAGACGGGAGAAACCAGCGCACGGGACAAACAGTCAGCCACATGATTGGATTTACCAGCCACGTGCCGAATGTGCGTGGTAAACTCAGAAATGGCTGCCAACTGGCGCTGCTGGCGTGCACTCCATGGATCAGAAACCTTGGACATGGCAAACGTCAAGGGTTTGTGGTCCACGTATGCGGTAAAGTGACGACCCTCGAGAAAAAAACGGAAATGACGAGTCGCCAGGTGGAGCGCCAGTAGCTCCCTGTCAAAAACGCTGTAATTGCGTTCGCTGTCACGTAGCGTACGGCTGAAAAAGGCGAGCGGTTGCCAGACACCCGAGATTCGCTGTTCCAGCACCGCACCCACCGCTATGTCCGATGCATCGGTGGTCAACGCAATCGGCGCTGAGGGGGATGGGTGGGCCAGAAGGGCAGCATTAGCTAACACTGACTTAGCATCAGAAAACACTTGGATGCTTTCCGGAAACCAGTCAACGGAGTCATTAGCTTTCTTACCTTTTAACGCCCCATATGGGGGTTCAGCAGATGTGCCGCTCTGGGGAGAAAACGGTTGTAAAAATTCACCATCCCCAAAAATTCCTGCAGTGCCTTAACAGTCGTGGGACGCGGAAATTCCGAAACAGCTCGGACTTTGTCAGGCAACGGAACCGCGCCCTCGGCGGAAATACGGTGCCCAAGAAAATTGAGAACGGGCAACCCAAACTGGCATTTAGACGGATTAATAATCAGTCCATGCTCCGCCAAACGCTGAAAAACCTGCCGCAGATGGAACATGTGCTGCTCCTTCGAGCTGCTGGCCACCAGTATATCATCAAGATATACAAAAACAAAGGGCAGCCCGCGCAAGACCGAGTCCATCAACCACTGGAAGGTTTGGGCGGCACCTTTCAGGCCAAACGGCATGCGCAGAAACTCGAAAAGGCCGAAAGGTGTAATCACGGCGGTTTTGGGGACATCCTCCGCGCGCACGGGAACCTGGTGATATCCCCGTACCAAATCGATCTTCGAAAAAACCGAAGTCCCCGCAAGATGGGCGGAAAAATCTTGGATGTGGGGAATGGGATAATGATCGTTCTCTGTGACATTATTACGACGACGGAAATCCCCACAAGGTCGCCACCGACCATCAGATTTAGGCACCATGTGTAACGGAGAAGCCCAGGCACTGTTCGAACGCTGCACAATGCCCAGACGCTCCATGGTGGCAAATTCTTCCCGAGCGACAGCCAGTTTGGCAGGGTCGAGGCGGCGCGCGCGCACGAACACCGGGGGCCCTACTGTAGTTATGTAATGCTCCACCCCGTGCTTCGTCACCGTGCTTGAGAAAGTGGGGACAGAGAGTGAGGGAAACTCAGAAAGCAAACACTGAAAAACGTCACCCGAATCTACTGAGTTAGCATGCACCACAGGCTGAGCACCCCGAGTCAAACAGGGTAATGAGGAAAATGACACAGCATCAATTAAACGTCTGTTAGCCACATCAACCAGTAGTCCGTGAGCACAAAGAAAATCAGCGCCTATTATAGGCACAGAGCTAGCAGCAACAACAAAGTTCCACTGAAAGTCACGGTCGTGAAAGCAAACAGTCACCAACCTTTCACCGAAGGTTTTGATGGGAGAGCCATTAGCCGCTGTTAGCAATGGCCCGCAGCCCTTAGCTAGCCTGTCCGAGCCAGCCGGGGGAAGAAGGCTCTTCTGTGAGCCGGAGTCCACCAGGAAACGCCTCCCCGAGCGTGAGTCCTCTAAGAAAAGCAGCCTTTCCTTGTTGCCAGCGGTCGCGGCTGCTACAGAGCGCTGACATGCCCATTTCCCTGGGTCTGGAAACTGCAAGGCGGGAGACAGCGCCGTGCCTTCGCTCCAAAACGCTGGTGATTAAAACAAAGCCCCTTTCCGCGGTGCCGCCGTGCAGCGATTCCGGCCACCGTGGACGAGTCAGAGGGCCCCTGGAGCATCGGTGAGGGGGCGGGGGAAAACGCTGGTGAGTCCTGAACAATCGCCTGGACGCCGAAAGTCCTGGTAGCCAGGAGGATGCGATCCGCCTCTTCCGCAAGGGAGCGGTAATCCTTCATGGCCAATAGCGGGGAGTTGGCAAGGCCAGCGCGCACTGGAGCCGGCAGCTGTCGGAGAAAGAGGTGGGTGAAGAGAAATCCTCCGTCATCCGCGCCCAGCAAGGACAGCATGCTCTCCATGAGCTCAAGAGCGGTGCCGTCGCCCAGGCCCGCGAGGGAAAGGAGTTTCTCGGCTCGCTCAGCATCAGAGAGGGAGTAACGCCGCAGCAGCAGCGCCTTGAGGGCGGCGTACTTGCCTTGGGCTGGGGGGTCCCGGAGGAGAGTCATCACGCGGCGGGTTGACGGCGGGTCAAGTGAGGCCACCACATGGTGGTATTTAGTATCGTCGGCTGAAACTCCACGAAGAGCAAACTGAGCACGAACGTGCACGAACCATGAAGGAGGATCGTGAAGCCAAAAATCCGGCAATTTAAGCGCCACAGCAAACGCAGCCATTGGCGGAGGTGAAAGTCCGGCGGCAGCCGATGCTTCCAGGCCGG